CCAGCAGGTGGACATCCCCCGAGGGGTCCCAGACTGCGAGAGGGCACAGGCAGGGCTAAGGGACCCCCCTGAGTGCACAAATTTTTTGTGCACCGAGCCTCTAGTTGTTTTCATAAGAGAAAAACTTTATTTAAAAAAACACCGGGAAAATGCACACAAATGGAAACCGCCCATAGCTCTGCCACGTTGCTTGAATCCTGTGAAGGAAGACGTGATGGTCTCGCCTCATCCATCCAGTCCCGGCCGCAGAGGTGTAACCGTACGTGTAGCTTAGACACAGGTTCCCTGAGTTGAAGCAGACATATTTGCAGACTCACAGAGTTGCATAGCGCTGCACACACTGCTCTGCAGCACTTACACATGCTGCCTTTTAATATAACAGCAACACGTTTCCAGGTCAGAAAATACGATCTTCCTTATTCTAAGTGCTGCCTGGTATTCCTTTACCTCATATACCTGCTATTTCATACCCAGTATGGTTGGCCCGTAATTACTTCGGCCTGCCCCCCTCAGTGAATACTTTCTATGGCCGTTTTATTCATTTGCAGTGAGAGATGTCATGCCATGAAATGAACAAGAACCTGTGAGACCCACCAGAGCACTGGGTCACATGGCCAGCCAGTTCTTTCTCCCTAGAGGCGGACCCACGTGAAACACCACATTCTAAAACAACAGAGACGAGACCAGCACTCACTATGGGCTGGGCACTTTGCTCAGCATTTTACATATAATTCCTACTTGAATTCTTGCCAAACTCTTGGAAGTCAGTAAATTAACTTTATTATTTGTCTCTGAGGAAACAGAAGCACAGAGAGGTTAAGCTACCCCTCAAAGCCCACACAGCTAAATGGAGAGAACAGGGCTTGAACCCAGACTGCAAAAAAGACGAAAAAGACAGAATTTCAATAATCTGTTGCCACTGGTCACAATAATAATGTTTGCCGATGTCGACTCAACATTTATTTTCTGCTGGGTGTCTGTTATCTTGGGATGACTCCTAGGAGGTGTAGGTACTATGATTTCCCCCATATTTTGGATTAGAGTCAAAGAGAGGTGAAGTGTCTTAGCCAAACTTACATGGTTAATTGGGGGCAAAACAAGGGATTTGAAGCAGGTCTGTCTGCTCCAGAGTTGGTGACGAACAGAGGGGAAGTCCGTTCTGGCACAGAACATGCCCAGGGAGGTCCAGGGAGGTGCAGGGAGGCCCAGGGAGGTCCAGGGAGGCACAGGGAGGACCAGGGCTACAGCAGGCGGGCGCTGAAGGCCCGTGAGAGAGGCTCAGGGAGGCCCAGGGAGGCGCAGGGAGGCCCAGGGAGACCCAGGGAGGCTCAGGGAGGCCCAGGGAGGCGCAGGGAGGACCAGGGCTACAGCAGGCGGGCGCTGAAGGCCTGTGAGAACATGGACCTAGCAGGCATTTCCTCCAACCCCACTGTTGTCTTCTGACCTGATGCCAGGAGCTCTGGGAGCGGGGCTGCGGGATGTGCCGTGGGCGGCCCCACTGCAGAGGGCATCCTGAGGAAGAACTGCCTGGCAGGCTCTGTTTGCCCTGGCTGGAGCCCAGCGAGGGGCGGTGGAAGGGAGGGGTTCTGAGTGGGTGGCTATGTAGGGGTGCCCTTTGCAGGCCAGGCTGGGGGTCCTTGGTTTGGGGGACAGTGCAGCAGAATGGGACAATGTCCGAGACAGCAGGGGGTCTGATGTCCTGCAATCATGAGAATAACATCAGGCACATCCTACGCGAGGGAACCTGCAGAAGCCTGGGCAGTCTTCCGAGCGAGGTTGCGGGCAGTGGCACCTTTCCCTGTCTCTCAAAGGCCCACTGAGGCAGGGCGCACAGCTGTGGAGGTCAGGGCGGGGGTGCCATGGTATAGCGGGCATCACACACTGTCAGAAGAGGATGCCATGGTAAGTTCCCTGTGGGTGCCCAGAATGTCAGAATTTTTTTTTGTCCAAGAACAAAATCTGCATTTTTCAGTGAAGTCTCATTTTGAAATGGCAGCAACTAATTAAAAAAAACCCCTAAGCCACTTTACAGGCTGCAAAACAAGCCAGACCTCTGGGGGTGAGGCCAGTTGGTTTTTTTAAAATTGTGGTAGCCCGACCAGCATGGCTCAGTGGTTGAGCCTCAACCTATGAACCACGAGGTCACAGTTCGATTCCTGGTCAGGACACATACCCAGGCTGTGGGCTCGAAGCAGCTGATCAGTGATTCTCTCTCATCATTGATGTTTCTCCCTCTCCCTCTCCCTCTCCCTTCCTCTCTGAGATCAATAAAAATGTTTTTTTTTAATTGTGGTAAAATACACATAATACACTATTGATCATTTTAACCATGGATAAGTGTATAGTTCAGGGGTATTAAGTACATTCACAGTGTTGTGTAATCATCACCACTGTCTATGTTCAGAACATTTTCATTGTGTGAAACAGAAGCTCTGCACCCATTAAACAGTAACTCTCCCCCTGCCTCCCGCCAAGTCCCAGGTAGCCTGTATTCTTCTTTCTGTGTCTGTGTATTGGTCCGTTTTGCGCACCTCATGTAAGTGGCACCATGCATATCTGGCCTTTCGCGTCTGGCTTATTTCACTGAGCATAATGTTTCAAGGTCTATCCGTGTTGTAGCCCGTGTCAGAATTTCCTTCCCTTTTAAGGCTGAATAATATTCCATCGTATGGTGGACCACATCCTGTTTAACTATCCATCTACCAATGGGCACCTGGCGTTTGCACCCAGTGGGCCTCTGCTTTCTTGGAAGGAGCTCTCCTGCCCTGGCCACCGCTTACATTGTGACTCTATCTGACTTCGGTGATTTTCATTGTCGTCGTGTCGGCAAATAGCTGAGCGCTGGGGCACGCAATCAGGTAGACAATCTCTGAGAATGTTCCAGACAATGGGGAGACAGTGAGAGTGGTGGTGGGGTACCCAGGGTGCTCTTGAGCCCTGAGGGGACAAACTTGGTCTAACTGGAGACCACAGCTGGGTCTTCAAGGATGAGCCACTGAGATGCCTGCCCACCTTTATTAACTTGGCAGAGGAATCTGAAACCACGTAAGGTAACTGGCTCTAAAGCCAGGCTGCCTGGGCTCCAATGGGGCTTCTCCACCTACCTGCTGTGTGTTCTGGGGCCAGTGCCTTGACCTCTCTGTGCCTGAGTATCCTCACCTGTCAGATGGTGGCGATGAGCAGACCCGTGGCCTAGGGTTGTCGTGTGGATTCACCAAGTCTGTACCTGCGAGGTGCTTCGAGTGATGTCACATGTGGCAAGCACTGATAGGCAACAGCTGTTATTTTGGGGGGAGGGGGGAGAATGGCGCCCGAAGAGGCTGGGACAGAGGCAGGCGCCAGGTTGAGCGGGGCCCTCACGGCCACTGGGGGAGCTTGGATGGTATCTGGAGGCACAGGGAACAGGGAAGGGCTTGAGGAGACGTGCATGCACCTTCGTGATGGCCGTGACCGGGGAAAGATCCTGCCTACGTGGGCCCCGCCTCCAGCCTCCCAGGAAGCTGCTCATCGTCTTTCTGCTCAATAGCCTGGAGCTTTTCTCCCTGAGAGCATCTCCTTTGTTACTGGATGTGCCAGTAGCTCCTTAGGACGGTGACAGCTGTCCACTGCATGCCTTGGGACGGCCCTCTTCCTTCTCAGGCCTCCCTTTCCCCATCCGATGGTGCTGGGCTGGTCATTTCTAAGGGAACCCTCAAGCGCCGTGCACTAGAATCTGTGACTGTTGGTGGGTGGAGTTTATTTACACACGCCCACCAGACAAGGAGGGAAGGGTGACATTTAGGAAGAAGGGCTCCCTCCCATTTCTCTTGGGTCCGTAGACTCGGCATTTCCCAAATGCTTATTCGCTTGTAGAATTTGTTTCCCATTCTCGTAAACCCATTTAATAATCTTCAGAGCCAGTGTTCCACAAAACACCCTGGAAACACTGGTGGAAATGATTTGTTGGAGCCAAAAGCTGCCCAACGGCCAATGTAGGTGGTCAGTAAAAGAAATCTATTATTTGCAAATGCAGAGTTTTGTTTGGCCTGGCTTCTTGGCCCCAAAGTGGGGAGGGAGCTAGTGCTGTGCTTCAGGGGAGGAGTTTACTATTGAGCAAAACCGCTCATCAGCTGCTGCAATGAGCCGTGTGGGATCCAGGCTGACTGTTGACTGAACTGTGGAGGGTGGGGTCCTATGTTTCCATTCTCTCCGGTGACTCATCAGCCAGGACATCTTAGGACAGACCGTGTGAGCCACCTGTGTTCTCAGACACCCAGGAAGGGATGTCTGGGGCAGCCAGTGGTCTGCAGTGGACATCTTGGAATTAGTCTTTGGTGGAACAAAGCATAAAGTATAATGTGTAACAATACTACTTTTATTTTGAAAGAATAAAATATACATATGCATTCAGATGTGGAGAAATAGATATCGGTGATGGGATGATAGGCAGTTTTCCCCCTTATTTTTTTATTGCCGCCCAGTTTTCTTTCTTTTTTAAAAATATATTATTTTTTTAAAATATATATTTTTATATATAATATAATATATTTTAAAAATATATGTAATATATTTTTAAAATATATGTTTTTATTGATTTCAGAGAGAGTAAGGGAGAGGGAGAGAGAGAAACAGCAGTGATGATAGAGAATTATTGATTGGCTGCCTCCTGCACGTCCCCTACCGGGGATCAAGCCTGCAACCGGGGCATGTGCCCTTGATTAGAATCGAACCTGGGACCCTTCAATCTGCAGGCTGATGCTCTATCCACTGAGCCAAACCGGCTAGGCTGTCGCCCAGTTTTCTATTGTCACTGTGGGTTTCCTTTGCAAAAAGAAAAATACATATATGACAAGTAAAATACATATGTGTACATCTATACATCCGCTCCACAAACACACATGTATGCTGTACTGAGATGATATCATACAAAAACCAAGATAAAGAGGCTTTGGTGAGTTTTTGTCTTAAGTCTTTGGTTTCTAATAGTTCCTTCAGAGTCTGTCATCCTTGGATTTTTCCAGATGGGCAGCAGATCTGGGAGATGGAGGCCACCGTGGATAAAGACAAGAGCCAGCCTGTAAGCACTGGGCGAGAGGACCGAACGCCCTGACCGTGTCCTGCCCACCTCCCTCGGGTCCTCTTTCCTCCCTTTTCCTTTCCTGCACCAAAGTCCCAGGGCTTTGGACCTAACAGCCACGCAGTAGGTATTGAATTGACGAGTTAACTAAACGTTCCATGAGCACCAGTCCGCTGATTTGTAACGGTGACATCTTACTATTCTTCGATAGAGTAAGTGGCAGTTCTTTCTTTGCCGAGGCTGACAAGTCAAATTCCCCTTAAATAGCATTTCACCTGTAAACGTATGCCACGTGCCATGACTCAGGGAGATGGGCTGGCTCCACGCGCTTGGGGCCTTGGATGGGAATTTAGATGTTGCCGCCGTGAAGTTAATGACAACCCCTTCCTTCCAGAACATGCTTTTTGTTGAGATCCCCGAGTACCGGAACAAGCACGTCCGCACGTCGGTGAAGGTGAACTTCTACGTCATCAACGGGAAGAGAAAACGAAGTCAGCCTCAGCACTTTACCTACCACCCAGGTGGGCGCCTCCCGAAGGCCCCTGTGGGGAGGCAGCGTGAGCGTGTGGGTGAGGACCCTGGTGTCTGCTGCCGGCAGGGGGACCTCGGCTGGTGGTGCAACCAGCCCGGTTTCCTCACCTAGCAAATGGCGCCTTCCTTAGAGGGTTACAGGAGTCAGGTGCACAGGAAGTGCTCAGCACAGCAAACGCAGCAGCGATGTGAGCTGTTGGTGTTGTTAGTATTTCCCTTTGGGAGGGCGGGATGGGGAGAGGCGTGTGAGGGCTTGCTCAGCACAAGGTTGCAAAGCTGGTGACTCCTGTCCCTGCCTTAGATTTGATCATGATAGAGGTAGAGGTGACTGTGCCCTAAAACCCATGGAATCTCTCGTTGACCCCACTGTGGGTGGTAACCCTGAGGCCAGGTGGATAACCAGTCCAGGAGGTCTCATTCCCACAAAGCAGTCCCAGGAGGGGTGACAAGTGTCATTGTTCATTCATTCATTCATTTATTCATCCAGAAAATATCTGAGGGCAGGTACTGTTCTGAGCTTGACACACAGCAGTGAACACACAGATAAAAAGCCCTGCCCTCGAGGAGCCGATGCCCTAACAGAGGGGACTTAGATGGAAGTGATATTGATATTATTGACACATCAGATTAGGAGGGGCCTGCAGAAACAGGCTCGAAGCTTCCCAAGGCTTGAGACAGGCCCCCTAGGCACCTTCCCAGAATGGAAAACCTATCATCTAGACCAGCGGTCGCCAACCTTTCAGACCTCACGGACCACCAGTATCCGCGGACCACCGGTTGGCGACCTCTGATCTAGACTGTCACCCAGGGTGTAATTTCTGTTCTGTAATAGTTTCCCAGGGAGACTCTGGGTTGCTGAAAGCATGAACCCGAGGGCCAGTGCTGAGAGCCTGGCCTTGGGGAGAGGGGGCTTTGGCGAGGTGTGTCCACGGGTTTGTGGGGCCCCAGCCCAGGACTGACGTGACATGCCGTGAGTGGCGATGTCCTAATGGGACCTAGAACAGTGGAGACGGTCCCTGGGAGGGCTGTAGACTGCATCACCACAGTCCTGCTCACATAGAGGTTTCCAGTTACGTTTTATGAGTTCTCACCTCTCATGTGTGGAGGTGAGGCCGCCCTGGGCCTGGTTGGCGCGCACCTGTCCGAGCGTGGTCCCAGTGAGAACTTGGTCCCCAGGGGGCCAGGATTGAGATGGTGGCCTTTGAATGGCATCTTGAGGAATGGTTCCTGTGGTTGGTGTCAGAGCTGCGTGTTTGCTTTAAGGGCTGAACCTCCTTGCCTCCTCCAACCCCCAACACGGGGGAGGGGGCCCCACTTTGATTACTGTCCTGTCACCAGTTCATTTACTCCAGTGCCAAGAAAGCTGATTCCTCAGCTCTGGGGCTGGATGTCGGAGAAGGACACATTCTGGTGACGCTGCTAGGTGGGGAGAGAGGTGTGGATAGTAACCACAGCACCACTATCAGCAGCAGCAATAATAATGATGATAGCAACAACAGCAGGCATGGAGCACTTACTGCATGCCAGTCCCTGTGCTGAGTACCTTGCACACACAGCTCATTTAATCCTCTCAATAACCCCACCAGGTAAGTGCCTGTGGCTGCCAAGTAACAGATGGGGAAACTGAGGCCCAAGCCAGCAGGTCTCATTCCCCCAAAACACTGTAGAGCTAAGGAGGCCGACAGTCACCGTTTGGTCATTTCTTGTCCAGAAAATATCTGAGTGTCAGTTAAGTTCCAGGTAGTGTCTTAGGTGCTAGGGACCCAGCATTGAACAAAACAGACAACTCTCCTCTCCACCCGCCCCCCAAAAAAATCTCCTTTTGAGGAGCTGACCGTCCAGTGGGGGTGTTCAGATAAGTAAGCACGTCTACAGAATATGTCAGTATTCTGGTGAGTGATGAGTATTATGAAGGACAGCGAGAAGGGAAGGGGCGGGGACTGGTAGGCAGAGGGCGGAGGGGCAGCATTCTTTTAAACCAAACATTCTCCTTTGAGCTCTGCTCCTGGGGAAAAAGGCTGCAGACATCCCAGGATGAGCCCCCTGCTATTCACAGACCACCTTTCCACCCCTGGAAAGACCTGTGGTTCAAAATCATCGCCCTGGGTTAGGTTTCTGACCTAAGACCGTTGCACAGGGAGCCTCTTGCCTGAGGCTAACAAATGTCAGAGCCCAACTATTTCACACACCCATTCAGACTCCCAAGGCCATGTGCCCGACCTCTGTCCACTGATCCTCTGTGCACATCTGCGGCTTACTAAGAATGGTGCACCCCGTGTGCTTTTCTCACAGTCCCAGCCATCAAGACAGAGCCCACGGATGAATATGACCCCACCTTGATCTGCAGTCCCGCCCACGGGGGCCTGGGGAGCCAGCCTTACTACCCACAGCACCCCAGGGTGGCCGAGTCCCCCTCCTGCCTCGTGGCCACCATGGCTCCCTGCCAGCAATTCCGCTCAGGGCTCTCATCCCCAGATGCCCGCTACCAGCAGCAGAACCCAGCGGCTGTCCTGTACCAACGGAGCAAGAGCCTGAGCCCCAGCCTGCTGGGCTACCAGCAGCCAGCCCTCATGGCCACACCCCTGTCCCTCGATGCCCACCGCTCCGTGCTGGTGCATGCCGGCTCCCAGGGCCAAAGCCCAGCCCTGCTGCACTCCTCTCCCGCCAACCAGCAGGCCTCTCCGGTGATCCACTACTCACCTACCAACCAGCAGCTGCGCTGCGGGAGCAACCAGGAGTTCCAGCACATCATGTACTGCGAGAATTTCGCACCCGGCACGGCCAGACCCGGCCCACCCCCCGTCAGTCAAGGTCAGAGGCTGAGCCCGGGGTCCTACCCCACGGTCATTCAGCAGCAGAATGCCACAAGCCAAAGAGCCGCCAAAAACGGACCCCCGGTCAGTGACCAAAAGGAAGTATTACCTGCAGGAGTGACAATTAAACAGGAACAGAACTTGGATCAGACCTACTTGGATGACGGTAAGATGCTCGTTTTCCTTATTGCCCCTGAGGATGGTGCCCCGAGCGTCCCCCAGTTCACCTATGGCCTGAGCATCTTCCTTTACCCCTTGGGCCTGGTGTCCCTTCTGAAACTTAAGGGATTGGATAAGAGGCCCTTATGCCTCACCTAAGCCTCTGCATGAATCATTTCCCAGCAGGAATTAGCGGGGGCGGGGGGATGTTAGGGGTTTTAGATGCCCCCCCTACTGCCATCGTACGAGAAAGAGCAAATGTTCTGGCTGCAGGAGCATCCCGGGGCCATGAACTGGGTCAGTTTAACTGCTTCCACTCACTTTCCATTTGCCAAATTTAGACCAAGGGTAGGAAAACAGAAAGGAAGGAAAGCTAACCTCTTATTCCTGTAGAGGAAAAAACCCCGCTTTATAACCCTCTTTTGTGTATTTGGGGGGCAGAGAAAAGAAAGGAGAAGTTCACTGCCAAGTGGCTCTGTGAGGAGGGAGCATGAATGGGGGCTTGCGGGCAGGCCGCGGGCATCTGTGCCCCGTGCTGGTGGAACAGAGAAGCGCATTGATGGGAGGGGAGCAGTGCGCTTCCGTTGTGGTCGGGCCGAGGACAAGTGCAGAGGCGGCTTTGTGTGAGCCTGTAGGTGCCCGAGCACATTGGCGGGGGCCCAGCTGGAGAGGATCGAGTTGGAGTGGCTGTGTACGTGACACGGGCTGTGACACTCACCTGGGACCAGCCAGGGGCCCCTGAAGGATGGAGAGGGCGGGGCAGGCAGAGCAGCCTTCCCCTGGGGACCCCAGAAACGGGAAAACGGGTGGTTTGGGTTTCTTAATGGGAGAAGGAAAATCAGTACAGTGGGGCCTTGACTTACGAGTTTAATTCGTTCCAAGACCAAGCTCGTTAAGGAGCTCGTTAACTCAAATTACTCTGTCAACTCAATGCAAAAAATTGGCCGAGAGACAGCTGGTATCTCAGAAAACTCGTTAGTCCGGACACTCGTAAGTCAAGGCCCCACTGTATCACTGGCTGCCACCCACAGCTCCAGCCTCACACTTTAGAGATAGTAGCATCTGATACACCCCGAGACCTCAATTATTTAGGAAAATTGATTCTCAGAAACCCAGCCGAGGAGTAGGAAAGAAGGCAGAAAGCTCTAAGTGGCCGCAGGAGTTCTCATAGAGACCAGGCACAAAATATCAGACACGTGAGTGCAGGGATTTTTGGGTGCTGATGAGACTGACTTTTACTTTATGCAAAGTTTTGGTGATCTGGGTTATCTGGGGTGGTTTCCATGTCTTCTCTCTAGTAAAACTATCCATCAAAAACTCCCCCCAGATGCTTCAAGCAAAGAACTCTAGGGCCACTTAGAATGTGTAGGGTCAGACTGCGCCACGTGTTGACCTCCAGGTTTTGCTGCATTAATCATTGATCCGTCTAATCCGGAATAATCAAGCACAGGTTGAGTTAGGGTCACTGGGCTCAGTTTTGAAGGGCAGATCCACGTGCGATGCATTCTCGAACAGTGTACACCCAAGATGGCTAAGATAAACTTCTGGTTGATCTAATTTCAAAGGCGATCCTCATGTAGAAAGTGCAAATGATGCAAATGCCCATGGCGAGCGGATAAGTGAAATGCGGCTGTAACCAGACTCTCTCCCTGTGTTTATCAGGGCTGAGGTGCTTTATAAATAAATGAGTGCCTGAACAGGGCGGGTAACTTTCCCCAGCTGACTCCGTGTCCGGCGTTGGCTCAGTGTCCGGAGCGAGACATGTGCCGGCCCCTCCCACCCTGTCTGTCACCCCACATTACAGACAAATAGTGAGTGGCTCGGGCAGGAGCAGGAGTGAGTCCGTCTGTCCCTGGCTCTCCGTGACCCACCGAGATCCATGGGGCCTGAGGTGGTCAGCAGTCACCTTTGCGCATCCGTCACAGTGGAGCTTCCCATTTTCCCAGAAGCCTATGCTGTAGAGAAAGCGGCTGAGAAGGGACGCCTCCTCAGGCCTCTTAGGTGTCTTTATGGACACAGGCAGGTTCAAAGTCATGGTGAGAGGGGGCTCCAGCCGGTCAGCAGCACGGTCGGCCCAGGTACGTCTCGGAGAGCTGAGTGTGGTGAAATCGCTTCCCCTGACGGAGCCTTTGCCTAAGCACGTTCTGCACAGCCTGGCTCTGTGGGGTTGGAGGAGGCATCCTCTGACGCGAGGGTTCCATGGCTTTTTTATTTTTAATTTAAATTTTATAATTTAGTGACAATTGACATTGGATATTGTTTTGTGTGAGGTTCAGGTGTACAGCATAGTGGTCAGACAGTCATGCGCTTTACAAAGTGATCTCCCCAATATTTCAAGTACCCACCAGGCACCATACATAGTTATTACAATACTAGAGGCCCGACGCACAAAAATTCGCGCAAGGGTAGGCCTTTGCAGCCCTGGCCCCGCCCCCTGCCTTGCCTGATGCTGCCCACATCTGCTGCCACACACCCTGGTTCCCCAGAGCCCCCCCTCCCCCCAATTGATCACCCTGCAGAGGGTGGCCTGGGCCTCCCTCTTTGTGGCAATTGTGGAGTTCCTCCCCTTCCCAATTGATCCACCCGCCGGCCAGTAGCCTGGGCCTCCCTCTGCAGGGCAATCGTGGGGCGATGGTGGCCCCCCCAACCAATCACATTGCACCCGCCTTGGCTGGCCTGGCTCCAGTGCATGTCATAGCATGGTCATCTGTGTCATAGCATGGTCGTCAGGATGGTTGTTCTACTGTTTGGCCATTTGGTCAATTTGCATATTATGCTTTTATTATTATAGATTACTAACTGTATTCCCTATGCTGTACTTTAAAAGCTGAAAAAGCTCATTTAAACCAAGTTTTTTTTTTAAAAACCTCACATACTGTGGGACTTGTCAGAGCCTTTACTACACTAGTGGACGTTATAAATCTCTAAAATAAGGGGACGTGGCACTTTCCAGATGGTCGACCACAGAGAAGAAAGCATAGGACTCCAGGAGTCCTGCTCCCAGCATGCCGGACCCTGTGTGGATGGAGCCCTGGCGTGGTGCCCCACACAGGCGTGGGGCAGTCCCTCCCCCCACATTCGGGAGAAAGGACCTGAAGGAACGTCAGAGTTTAACGCCCAGAATTGCCCATCCCATATGCCATATGCAGGCTTCTCAGTTCTTGGGCTTCACGTTCCTGGGCCCCCAAAGGGCAGCAGTGTGGCTGCTGGTTAGATGTTCAGTGTTTGACCAGCATTTTCCCCAAGGCTCTGTCCACGCAGGATCCTCCATTGGGGGAGGGAGGGTTCCCATGTGGCTGGTTGTACCCAGTGGTAAGCCCTAACTGCACCGCCCTGTAGCCACCAGGCAGAGGTAGGTGCAGTCTTGCCTCCTAATTGCTGGACTATCAGATCCCTCTCACAGGCCTGGCAGCCGCCGGAACATTCTCAGATCCCACTGCTGGCTGTGTGGGAGGGGGCTCAGACTGCTCAGTTTGTTGTTTTGCGTTTATTGCTCACAGGTGAACTGAAACTAGGTTTTCCAGGTCCCTTTCTGTCCTTGTCATTGGTTGCTCCAAAGGGATCGTCCCCCAAATACGTACCTGGCCGCACCAGCTCCCGCACAGCGCGCTTCCAGCTTGTCGGTCATTCTCAGGGGCCATAGCCTCAGGGTTTTGGCAGAGCAGACTCTCCTTGGAAACTTGGTGAGAGCTGGGATTCATGTTTCGAGGGTCCAGGGACGGTTCCACAGATGGTAAAGGAAGGGGTCACCAGCGGACGGGGCCCAAATGAAAACTGGTAACGTAGACGTTGACCACGCCCCTGGCTGCGAGCCCGGGAAGCCCGGAGTTTGGTTATCTTTTCCTGGCCCTTTGCTCACGGTCCAGAGTCTGGGCCGGGTGTCCACCTGGCTGCCCTGTGTCCGTCTGCTTTTCATCTCTCTCTCCTCTCCCCGACTGCATTCCTGCGCACAGACGCTGTCTGTCTGGGCTCTGCTTTTTCTTGGAACTCCAAAATGCCACTTCTACTTTCTCCACTCCCAGGGCTGGAGACGTTTTCAAGAAGTCTTCTTTTTGAACTAGTGAAATAAGTGATATTCCAGGGCAGCGTGGGTGCTCTCTCCCTCTCTCCTCTGCTCCTCTGTCCACTCCAACTCAGGCACCTTTGCTTGGTTCTGGAATGTGTGTTCCGTGCACACACTTGCTCTCTTCCCTGCTCTCTCATCCCTTCTGGAAGGAGTGCCTTCTTCTAAATGTAGCTGCTGGTTGCACCTGGGAAACACCAACAGCTCCTAGCCGTCACAGGATCCTGTGGATAGATTCTTTCCTCAGCCCCTTCCTCCCTCCCTCCATCCCCTCCCTGTCCTTAGCCCCACCTCCTACCCCCTGCATCTCCCCCACATATATTTATCTACTGGCTGCCTTCTCTGTGCCCTGCACTGTTCTGGAACTCAGGGATACAATGGTGAACAAGTCAGGGGAAATTCTTGCTCTCACGGGGTATTTTTTTTTTGTTTTTGGTAGAGCATGTAAGGTGGTAACTAAGCATATTTCAGATGGCGATAGAAGTCGTGAGGGACATTACGCAAGGCTAGCAGCTAGAGTGTGGCTGGATAAGGTGGTGCTGGCCCCTCAGACCAAGTGCACAGCAAGGCCACTCTGAGGAGGTGTGCTTGGGGAAGATCGGAGGGAAGGGTGTTTTAGGGAGAGGGAACAGCCGCGGGGGAGGCTAGGAGGTCAGAGGAGTGTGCTAGCGTTGGCGGGTTTTGGGCTGCAGCCCCGTGTGATTTGATTTACCCTTTGTAAAGATCGCTCTGGCTGCATTTGGAAAATGGTCTCTAGGGAGGCAAGACTTGGGAAAGAAGGGATTTATTTCATTCTAGACTAAGCCAGGTGGGCAGCTTGAGTCCTGCCCAGGATTGTGCTGGAGGGCGGTGCATTCTACAAGGGGTGGTGCACCCTTTCACTAGCGTGGCCATTTCAGATGTCACTGCAGTTGCCACCGTGGGTCCACCCACAGGTAGTTCTT